GTTCTTTTAACTTTTGTTTATCATGGAAGGTTTTTATTTCATCATGAAATCTAAAGCTTAGTTTTGCTGGATATAAGATTCTTGGTTGGCATCCATTTTCTTTCAGAGCTTGGTATATATTGTTCCATGATCTCTTGGCTTTGAGGGTCTGGGTTGAAAAATCTGCTGAGATACGCACCGGTCTCCCCCTTTTATGTGATCTGATTCCACTCTCTTGCGGATTTTAAGATTCTATCCTTATTCTGTATGCTAGGCATTTTCATTATAATGTGCCTTGGTGTAGATATGTTGTAATTTTTTTTTTTTTTTTACATTTGGTGTCCGGTAAGCCTCTTGTATTTGGTTTTCCAATTCGTTCTTCATTCTTGGGAATTTTCTGATATTATCTCATTGATGAGATTGTGCATTCCTTTGGCTTGAAACTCTGTGCCTTCCTCTATCCCAATAACTCTTAGATTTGGTCTATTGATGCTATCCCATAGTTCTTGGATGTTCTGTTCATGGTTTCTTACTATCTTCACTGTGTGTTCAACTTTATTTTCTGGATTGTATACTTTTTCTTCATTATCTGACGTTCTTTCTTCCAAGTGATCTAGTCTGTTGGTTATGATTTCTATTGAGTTTTTTATTTGGTTTATTGTATCCTTCATTTCAAAGATTTTTATTTTATTTTTTTCAGAGGCTCTCTTTCTTGAAGTAATCTTATGCTACCTATATTTGCTCTCTTATCTCTTGGTTGGAGTGATCAATTTTTGCCTGTATTTGTTCATTTAGGTCATTCTTTAATTTACAGATCATTTTAATTATGAACTTTCTGAACTCCTTCTCTGACGTTTCATGAACTTTGCTGCCCATGTGTTCTGTTATTATAGTGTCCTGGCTTGTTTGGGACACTTTCCTCCCTTGGTTTTTCATGTTGTCTATGTGTCTTCCTTTCTTGCAGTGTGGATCTGAGATATTACAGTTTCTACCCTATATTCTTGTAGTACCCAGGTAGATTGTCTGTACTTCACCTTGATGTTGGGCTTCCAGATCCTGCTGGAGTCCCTCAATCTATGCTACTGCATCTAATGGTGGTGGTGGCAAGAGCCGAGGTAACTTGAGATAATAGTTGAATTAGTTATATAGGTTTTAAAGTATTCTCTCCCATTCTGTTGCATTTTAACTCTTATTGATGGGTTCCTTTGCTATTCAGAAGCTTTTTTCTTGACTTAATTCCACTTGTCTCTTTTTGCTTTTATAGCCTGTGCTTTTTTCCCTTTTTAAATGAAGTTTTTATTTTTATTTCCTTATTTTTTGGTACATTATAGTTATACATATTGATGGGATTTGTTGCTACATATTTGTGCACATAACATAACAATATAATTTAGTCAACATCACTCCCCAGCATTTCTTACCTCCCTGCCTTTGGACTCCTTGGTCCCTTTCTTCTACTGATTTCCCTCTGATGTTTTGGAGGTCCACCCCCAAATTTGTTTTCCTTTTCCTCTCTAGCTTCTGCAAATGTGAGAAAACATATGTGCCCTAACCTTCCAAGTTTGACTTATTTCATTTAACATGATGATCTCTATTTCCATCCATTTTGCTGCAAATGCAATAATTTCATTTTTTCCTTCTGGCAGAATAAATCTCCACTGTGTATATATACCATATTTTCTTTACCCATTCATCCATTGATGGACCCCTCTGCTGGTTCCATAGTTTGGCAATAGTGAATTGTGCTGCTGTAAAAATGGGTATGCATATATCACTGTGGTAAGATGCCTTTAATTCTTCAGAGTAAATACCAAGAAGGGGTATAGCTTGTTCATGTGGTGGTTTAATGCCTAGTCTTTTTTTTTTTTTTTTTTGTTACAGGGGCGTTAACTCAGAGGCACTTAACCACTGAACCACATCCCTAGCCCTGTTTTGTATTTTATTTATAGACAGAATCTCACTGAGTTGCTTAATGTTGCAACTGTTGCAACATTGAGTTGCTTTATGTTGCAGCCTCACTGTTGCTGAGGCTGACTTTTAACTTGCAATCCTCTTGCCTAGCCACTGCGATTACAGATGTACAACACCACGCCCTGCGTCTAGTCTTTTGAGGAGCCTCCATATTTATTTCCTTAGTGGTTTTATTAATTTACGGTCCCACTGACAATGTAAAAGTGTTTCTTTTTCTCCGCATCCTCTCCAGCATTTATTATTACTTGTTTTCTTGATGACTGCCATTCTGATTAGAGTGAGATGAAATCTCAATGTAGTTTTGATTTACATTTCCCTAATTGCTAATTATGTTGAATATTTTCATGTATTTGTTGACCACTTGTGTTATACCCTCTGCTTTTAATGTCATATCCAAAAAGTTATGAATGTTATGAAAAAATTCCTTCATGTTTTGTTGATAAGACTTTTATGGTTTCAGGTTTTTCATTTAAATCTTTAATCAATTTTGAGTTGATTTTTGTATATGGTGTAAGGTAGGTATCCAATTTCATTCTTTTGCATGGATATCCAATTTTCCCAACACCATCTGTTGAAACATTATTCTTTCCCTATATGTAGTCTTGGCATCCTTGTCAAAGATCATTTGATTGCATATGTGTGAGTTTATTTCTGGACTCACTATTCTTTTCCAAATTGGTCTAAGTTTCTGCCCTTATGCTAGTTCCATGCTGTTTTGATTACTCTAATTTTTAATGTTTGGGATTCAGAAAGTGTGAGGTCTGCAGCTTTATTGTTCTTTCTCAATATTTTTTTGGATGTTAGGTGCCCTTTGTGGATCCATATGAATTTTTAGGATTGTTATTTCTATTTTTTTAAAATGCAACTAGGGTTTTGATGAGGTTCACAATGACTTGGTAGATATCTTTGGGTTGTATGAACATTTTAACATTATTATGTCTTATAATCCATTAATAAAGGATGTTCTTTAATTCATTTGTTCTTCATTAGTTTTTTTTTTCATCAGTGTTTTTTAGTTTTCAGTGTATGAGTCTTTCACTACCTTGGTTTAGTTTATTCCTTAGTATTTTATTCTTTTGATGCTGTTGAAAATACAGTTGTTTTCTTAATTTTCTTTTTGTATTTTTCATTGCCTGTTTTGAGTCACTACTTGTTTTCACATGTTGATTTTTTATGTTGCAACTTTACTGAATTCATTTATTATTTCTAACAGTTTTCTCTTGCATGTGGAATTGCTATGTTTTTTATAAATAAAAACACTTATTTTGTGAAGAGAGATAATTCTACTATTTCCTTTCTAATTTAGATGCCTCATTTCTTTTTCTTACCTAATTGCTCTGGATACAGTTTCTAATGCTATCTTGAGTAGAGGTGTGATAGTGAGCATCCTTGCTTTTTCCAGATCTTATAGGAACAACTTTCAGTTTTTCAACACAGGGTATATTGTAGGCTTTGGTCTCTTTGTTTATAGTATTTATTTTGTTGAAGTAATTTTCTTCTACTCCTAATATTCTGAGAGTTTTTATCATGAAAAGGTATTGAATTTTGTCAAATGATTTTTCTGTATCCATTGAGTTGATCATGCCATCTTTTATTCTTTATTTTCATAATTTGGTGTATCATATTAACTTATATTCATATATTCACACATTCTGGGGATAAATTCCACTTGTCTATAATATACAATTCCTATAACGTGATGGCAAATTTGGTTTTCTGAAGGATTTTTGCATCTGTGTTTGCCAGGAATATTGGGTTGCTGTTTTATTTTCTTTTATCTTTTTCCAGTTTTGTTAGTAGAGTAGTACTGACCTCATAAAATGAGTTTGGAGCTGTACCCCCATCTTCATTCTTTCCCTTTTGCTCTCCTGTTCTTTTATTTTCATAATGTGTATATGAGAACACTTAATGGTTTTTCCATAAATCCATTACACTTCTTCATTCTTCTTCATGTTTTTTCTCCTCTGATACTTTTAAATGACTTGTCTTCAAGTTTTCTAGTGCCTTTTCATATTTCATCAAGTCTTGTTGAACATATTTATGATTTGAATTCTTTGTCATATAATTTGTATATGTTCTTTCCCCTATGTACACTCTTTGTAGATTTATTCTGTTGCTTTTTGGTGACAATTTATCCTTTTCCTTCATTTATGTTATATCTTTATGTTTGAAAAATTATCCTTCTCTAAATCTTCATTGACTCGATTCATATAGGGAAAGACTTTCACCTATCAGTCTGGTTAGAGATTGTGGGGAACTTTAGGACATTTTCTAGACCTTTTCTTCTTTGAACTTGAGTTTGCAAGTTACTGATTATAAGAGTTTGGTAGTTCCTTTTTTTCAGCTCATAATATCTTGCCTCCTTGTTGTTTTAGTCTGCAGTACTACATATCCTTTTGGGGCAGAATAGCAATAGGCCACCCCTCTCTCTCCCTTAAGTTCTTAGTAACCCTTAAGCTTGTAGATTATGCTGGGTCTCATTAGTTCTTTGAATCTGGTGAAAAAGAAACCAATCTTTTGGAGAGCCCCCTTAAAATCAGCATATGGGACACCCACTCCACTCTTTTCCCTCTCACCCTGAGGTAGAGACTACTGAGCTTTACTAAACTGTCTATTCTACTGTATATCCTGTGGAGCAGCAGCAAGACAACCCATCCTGATCTGTTGTATTCTCACTGGCCCCAAGACAGTTAGAGTGTGCTGGGTTCTGTCAGCCTTTGGACAGGTGAGACATAATCTAGCACCTTGGGTGGCTCCCCCAAAAGATACTATGTTGGATATATGCTCTGATTCTTTCCCTCCCAAAGGAGAGTCTAAGAACTGAGAATTTTCACCGTTTTGTTCCATGCTGAAATCGGGGTAGGAGTACCATGGTGAGTGAGTGCATTCTAGTCCAGGCCTTTACCCTTATTCTCAGTGGCCCCTAAACCCTTTTCAACAGTGCTCAGATTCAGGCAAGATATAAGTCAGTTCCTTAGCCTCTGACCAAAAAAAAAAAAAAAAAAAAGGAATGTTGGCTATGTATTTCAGTCTTCTTTCTTTATTCCCAGAGAGAAGCCAAGAATTGAGTTTTCTCCTGACTTCATTGTGCTGAGTTGGGTGAAGAGACCATGGCAAGTAAGTACTACAGATTTTACTCCATGTATCTATGTGGCTGGTTTCATGCTTGCCTGGGATGCAGGAGCCTATTAACTGGCATCAGGATTTCTTTTGATGTGAATTAGTCGATGTTTTTATTGTTGAATTGGTGTGTTTATTGGAGAAAGGAAGGTCTCAGGCTTTCTATTCTCCCATCTTGCTCACATTAACAGTCTCCATTTTGTTATTTGTTTTTTGTTTGTTCTTTCCATTCCCATTGATCTTTGAATGCATTATTTCTCATCCCTCTCCCACCGGCCTTTTTAAAACTCTGATGACAGGAACAGATGATAGATCTCTTATTATGGCTCCATAGATACCTATGGCTCTCTTTTTTTAAAAAAAATTCATGCTATTTTCACTCTTTGTTAAGACTGGGTAAGTTCTTCACTGATTCTGTTCTTTTTCTTCTCTATTCTAGTATTGAATTCATCTTGCAACTTAAAAAATGGCTATTGTATTTTTTCAGTTCCTTAATTTGTATTTGGTTCTTTTTTGGAAAACTCTCTCCCTTTTCTTTGATGAGATTTCTGGGTTTTTTCCCCATTTTTCAAGATAATTTTTAATTGCTTGTTGAAGCATTTTTATGAAAGTGGCTTTGAAAATCCCTGAATTTATCTAGGTATTAATGTTCAGTTAATTGTATTTCCTCATACAGTTTGTATATTCTTGGTATGAAGAGTGATTTCCATTGAATCCTGGACATTTTTGTTAGTATTTTAGGAATCTCTTGATCCTATTTAAGTCTTCTGTTTTAGCAGACAATAGTCCATTTTAGGTTGAGAATACAGGCCCTGACATTCTGTTTTGGGTTTCAGTTTTTGTTGACCTCTTTCAGTGGTACTCTGATCTGTTTTTTTTCTTTTGATACTCTTTCTTATTCTTTATTTGTGCCACCTTCTTGGGCATAAAGCACTATCCTGGGCTAGCTGGTGCCATTGGGACACCTTATTGTACTGTATTTGGGGCATAAGCCCTGGAACTGGTTTTTCTTATGTCACTAGATGGAGGACCAGATGATGGTGATGTTCTGGATATAGGATGGAAATTGGATGAGTTCAGCACTTTGCTGTTTCCAATGTAGGTGGGCCAGTCTGCAAACACCACAGGTATTGAGCCAGGGTTGGATTAGCCTCCTGAAGCTTTACTGATCCCCCCAGGAGCTGCCAGTGTCCTGATTATATTTCAGAAGTTATGGTAGCCCATCTGTAGGTAGATCAGCACACCTATTAGCCTCCAGTTTGTGGAACAGAGGTTGGCTCAGCCAGAGACTTGTGCCATGGACCTGTCTCTCTGAGCAAAACAGGTTATCCTCAGGTGTTTCAGTTTTGGAGCAAGGGTTGAGGCTTTCCAGTAGTTAGGCCAGAGAAATCAGGTTTTACTGTTTTATTGTTGTTTTTATTTATGTCTGTTGGTTGGTTGGGATGCAGTCCTCTCTCAGTACCTAGTGTGGAAAATTTAGAGATATAGAAAACTCAGGGAACTCATGATATTTTCCCATCAAATTATGGGGTTCCTAATTACCTTATTTTCATATTTCAGAGTAATTTTTATCTTGTGGGTTCAGTTGTTTTTCAGAATATTTAGTTGTACTTAGAGGGGAGAAAGATGGAAAAGTGAATCTATAGCATCCTTTTTCTGCACACATTTTAAAGGCTGAACAACAAAATTTGCTGATGGATCACATTTTGGGAGTGAGAAAAATCACTGGTGGTTCCAAGGATTTTAGACAGAGCTGAGCAACAAATTAAATGGTGATACCATCAACTGAAAAGGGAGGTAATTGGGGAGGACCAGGTTTGATGGGACTGAGGCTGAGAATTAAGCATTATGTTATAGATGTATTAAATTTGAGATAATTCAAATGATTATGGCTACATACAAATAGATTTACAAGTTTGGATTTCAGAGATGGAAATATAAATTTGGAGAGTAGTAAATGGTATTTACAGCCATGAGATTTCATAAAATTATTTAAGGAGTGAGTACAAATAAAGTTTAAGAATGAATCTTGACAAATTCTAACATTCACAGTCAGGAAGTATCTAGTGAAGGAAAACAAAATGAGCAATTAGTAATTTAGGAAAAAATAAGAATAATTTATTGTCATAAAAGCTATGTGAAATAAGCATTTCCAGAACAAGGGAGTGATCAATTGCACAAATGTTTCTGAGATATCAAGTAAGATGAGGACTGAGAATTAAATATAGATTATGATAATATGGAGATTATTGGAGACTTTAGTGAAAAAGATCTCAGTGGAGTCTTGAAATCAAAATATTGATTGGAATAAGTTCAAGAGAGTGATAATTGAGGTGATAATTCTTTGGGCTAATTTTATATGAAGGGAAGCAAACATATGGATAGGCACTATAGAGTTTTTGTTTATTTAAATGAGAGATAGTAGAATGTCTGTGTGGTGGTGGAAGTTATCTAGTAGAGAGAGAAGTATTCTTGATATGAGAGTGAGAAGAATATGATCTAGTGTAACATGAAAGGGTTGATCTTGGGAAAAGGAGCAGCAAGCTGTATAACAGGCCAGAAGTGAAAAAAAATTCAGCATAGGTAGAATGGCAAACTTTGTTCTGAGAACATGAGAAAGTTATCTTTTGATAGCTTTTGTTTTCTCTGAAACCAGAAACTGAGAGTAAGAAGGGGACACTGTTTTAAATATTCGAAAATTTGAAGAAAGAGAAAATATGGAACAGCAATCTCAAGAAGTAGAGGAGAGTGGACCAACTAGGGTACAGCAGTAATCAACCACTTTAGGCTGAATCCAAATCACCGTGGCTTTATGCGCTTTTGTTTTTATTCTTAAAATTATGAAGCAATCACAGATTTAGGGAAAGTTGGATGTATATTTCAAATAACTTTAAAAATATTTCTTGAGAGTCAGTTGCTGATCTGATGCCTTATTGCCCCTAAATGTGATTTCCTACAGACACTACACTCTCTTATATGACCACAATACACCCAGAAAAATGAAAAGAAACTAATAATCATATAATACTATAATTTAATTTTATATCCCATTCACATTTCATGAATTGTTTCAATAATATTCTTCAAGGAAAAAAGATCAGTTCAGAATCATGTGTTACATTTAGCTGTCACATTCCTTTAATCCCCTTCAGTTTGGAATAGTTCTCTAGTCTTTCCTTGACTTTCATAACTTGTTACTTTTGAAGATTATGATATAGTTATTCATATCTATATTTATCTATAAATATTAAATATATATTTATCTATAAATAGATGACTTCTAGATAGGGCAGAGAGGTGGGAGAGGAAGGGAGGGGGCAGAGGATTAGCAAGGATGGTGGAATATGATAGACATCATTATACATGAATTGGTGTCAACCTACTTTATATACAACCAGAGATATGAAAAATTGTGCTGAATACATGTAATAAGAATTGTAATGCATTCTGCTGTCATTTATTTTTTTAATCAATAAAAAACAAACCATGAAATTTAAAGCTATTCTAACATTATGGGATTTATTTTAGGTTTCTCCCTTTATTTGTAGCTATATGAAATCTGGCCTATATTATACTTAATATTTACTTGTTGGAACAATCTCCTAGTAACTATCCTCCCATTTCCACCAACATCCTCTTCCCTGTGATTCATAATCTTGCTCAGGAATTGATTCCTCATTCTCAGATACCTTCCCTGTATGCATGCCATCCTAACTGCTATGGTCTGAATATTTGTGTTCTCACAAATTCATACATTTAAGCCTAGTCACCAATGTGAGGATATTAGAGTGTGGGGCTTTTAGGAAGTCGTCATATTATGAGGGCAGATTCCTCATGAATGGTATTAGTACATTATAAAAGAGAACCTAGAGAATTCCTTTTCCCTTTACATCATGTGAGGTTACAGAGAAAAGATGACCTGTGATCAAGTAAGTGGACTACAACCAGACACTGAATCTGTTGGCACCTTGGTCTTTGACTTCTTAGTCTCCAGAACTGTGAAAGCAACCCAGGTTATGGTATTTTGTTATAGTAACCCAAACAGACTAAAATATTTCAACCTTTTTTGACTTCAGATTCCGTGTCTTGGGCTCTGATACTCAAATGCTGGTATGTCCCCCAGCATGGAAAGCCACTTCATACTTCTTTGGTTTTAATATCCTATGCTACACCAGCCCCCAATATGGCTACCTCCTTTACAGTTCATGGAATACACTCAGGTTCTGAGTCTCTCTGTAAGTTTCCTCTCTGAGTCTAGAATAACCTGATCATTATATTCAAGGTCTGATATTCCACAACTTGTGTGCTTTTCTAACCCCTTAGACTCTGATACAGAAGAGTATGCCCTTTGGGTAGATGCCTTCTTCATCCTGTTGGGGCACTTACCCTCCACTCCATTCCAAGCTATCAGAGCTACCCCTTCTACTGTGGATACCTTCCTTTCATTTGCTTTATTTCACCTAGTGGCTTTAGTACTGAATTGATTGAGAAGGGAAATGAGTTAATTGGATTTAACTAGGGTTGATGGTTTCCCAAGGAAGTATGACAAAGGAGGAGACTCTCAAGGGAGTTGAAGACATAGTCAAGAGATAATTATGCAATGGATTATGGAGTCTAAGCTCTATAAATACATGAAAAGGCATAGGAGAATGGTAGACAAAGGTGGTGAGGTGGATAGAATGGCTATGCAATCAAAAAAATTATTAGTGGTCATAATCCAAAGAGTCAGTGAAGATATGGATCTCAGAGTATAATGAAGGAAAATGAGATTTTGGAAGTGGTATCACTATAGTTAAAAGGTCTAGAATCTGACCATGGAGCAGGGGTAGCTTAAAGAAGGTGGAAGAAGAAGCTGGGGTTGTAGCTCAGTGGCAGAGCACTTTCCTAGCACATGTGAGGCACTGGGTTTGATCCTCAGCACTGCATAAAAATAAATAAATAAAATGGAGTTATTGTGTCCATCTCCATTTGCAGCTAATTTTTTTTTAAAGGTGGAAGAAATGATCTCTAGATGAAAAAGTCAATCAGGTAACTGAAACTACAGAAAACTGGTGTTTATGTAAGTAGAAAACTTTAGAAATATGTGATAAGCAACAGGTCAATACTACTTTCAGTGCAAGCATTTTGTACTGTGAGTTGAAACCCATCAATAGAGTCATGAAATCAATTTTATGAGTTATGATGGTAACTTTTAAAAGATGAAATAGACAAAGATAGAAAGTGCAAGTGAATTGGATATACTAAAAGTTAGTATTTTTATGAAACATGTTTGTACTTGATAATGATATAAAATGTATTTTATTTTGTGGCTCATGGTGAAAGAAAATATCTGGAGGCTGTTGTCTTAATATATGGCCTTCAAATATATTGTTGTGATACTGATGGTGGCAAGGTTTGAATTAGTCTGTGGAAGATTCCCAGACTTTTGACTGAAATTAACATTCACAAGTCTTTCCAAGTTACTGCTCAATCTTAAAACCCCCCTTTTTAAAAAATCATTTGTGATAGTTATTCTCAAAAAGATGGAAAGAAACTGACCTTAGGGATTGTGATGGAAGAGTTTCCCTGGGGAGATTTTGTAAACTATGCTGACCACTTTTATTTTTCTTTTTTTCCTATTGAGTCAGATTTATTTTATTAGTTCTTTTTAGTTATACATGACAATAGAGTCCACTTTAATATAATTATACAAGCATGGAATGTATCTTATTCTAATTAGGACCCCAGTCTTGTGGATGTTATGATGGTGAGATTCACTGTGGTGTATTCATATGTAGACATAGGAAAATTATGTCAGATCCATTCAACTGTCTTTCCTAATACTATTCCTCCTGCTTCCCTTCATTCCACATTGTCTTATCCACTGAACTTCTGTTCTTCACCTCCCCCCACCTTATTGTGGGTTAACATCCACATATAAGAGAGAACATTTGACTTTTGATTCTTTGGGATTGGCTTATTTCATTTAGCATAGTAGTCTTTAGCTATATCCATATACCAGCAAATGTCATAAAGTCATTCTTTTTTTTGGCTGAATAATATTCCATTGTATGTATGTGTATATGTATGTGTGTATATATATATATATATATATATATATATATCACATTTTCTTTATATAATTACAGAGAATTATGTTTAATTCCTCTTTTACCTGATAATCCTTCAGTTATTAAGGACATTTTTGTTACATCATGAAATGACTCCAACTTTCTTTGGTGCCTGAGAAATACAATATATTGTAGTGACTAAGTTGTTAATCAGCTTTCCATTGCTGTGATAAAATACTGAGAAAATAAACTTAGAAGGGGAAATATTTGAATTTTTTCACAGTTTCAGAGGTATTAGTACATGGTCACTTGACTCTATTGTTTCTAGATCTGTGGTAAAACAGAATATCATGTTGAGGAATTGCGGCAGAGCAAAGCTGTTGGCCTCAGGGAAGCCAGAAAATAGAGAGGGGAAGAGAATGAGAGGAAGTGCACGCACAAGCATAAGATATAACCTTCAAAGGTGTGCCCCCAATGACCTACCTTTTCCAGCTAGGCCCCAACTTCTAATCTTTCCAGTAGAGTCACCTCCCAGTAGAGTCACCAGTTGGGGATCAGTCCTGTAACACGTGAGCCTTTGGGGGACATTCCAGATCCACAGTCAGATTCCCTGTTTGTGATTCTGGTCTGCTAGTTTACTGGCATGTTTGATTCTAAGCAAGTTTCTTAATTTAATTTGTACCTTAATTCTTCTCCTGAAAAATTTGGACAATTAACACATAATATCTACCTGTTAGAGTTGTTGAAAATATTAAATGAGATAATGTGTGTAGTATATCTAGAATAGTGCCTGGCATATTTATTATAGATATTAGCTATGTGTTATGGAACAAAGTTTTTAGTTCTTTTATCATCCTATTTTCCTCAGGATAGGCATCACTTTTTCTTTGTGTCTTGGAAACCATGGAAATAAAGTATAATATTCCAACTGTGATCTGGCTTGGTCTGTTCTCTCTCATTTCTGAACCCTGTACTTTTTTGATAAATACAGCAAGTTGTGTTTTTTTTTTTTTTTTTTTTGTGTGTGTGTGTGGTGTTGGGGATTGAACCCAGGGACTTGTGCATGTAAGGCAAGCACTCCAGCAACTGAGCTATATCCCAAGCTCGTACAGTAGGTTTTTTTAAATAAGCAAGTCACAATGGTGATCACATTGATTTTATCAACTAATATTGTTTTCAAATTTACTGTTGTTGATCTAGGTTTCTTCCTACCGCACTTTAAACTCAAAATACTTAATTTTTTAAGCCTAGATGCAATATTTACATTTATACCTTCTGGTAAGCTGAATAATGGCTCTTCAATTTATCTAGTCTTAATCTCTGGCACCTGTGAATATTCCCTTTTATGATAAAATGGATTCTACACATGTTATTGGATTAACGATCTTAAGATGGGTTGATTATCTTATATTATTTAGGTGCCTTAATGGCATCATAAATGCCATTATGAGGGAGGCAGATGGAGATGGGACCAGAGAAGTCAATGCGATGACTTAACAAAATACTACATTTATGACTTTGGCAATGGACAAGGAATCACAAGCCAAAGGATGCAGGGAATACAACTTTAAAAAGTAGAAAAGACAAGAATCACTGAAGGGAGTGTGTCCCTGATGACACATAGATTTTGGCTAAGTGAAATTTAATTTTTAATTTCTGGCTTCTAGAATAGTAAAATAATGAATATTTGTTGTTTAAACTACTATGTAGTAACTTACTTCAGTAGCCATAGTAAATGAATATATACCTACTGTTATGGATCAAATATGAGGTGTCCCCTAAAATTTCCTATATTAATACAGGAATGATCAGGGGTGAAATTACTAGATTATAAAAGATATAATGTAATCAGTGGAGAGAAGTAACTCTTTGTGGAACTTTGCCAAGAAAAACTCCCCCAAAATGCTATACTGTTGCACCATCATTGTATATGTGACCTTATGTTGACTGAAGCATCATTATGTGGCACATGACTGTATAGGTTTATAGTGGCAAAGGTTTTTTAAGTACGGAGATACTCTACATGCTTTTGTCTCAGTTTTGCTATGAACTTAAAACTACTCTAAAATAAAGTTTATTAATTAAAAAATAAAACTGTGGAAGAGAAAAAAGATAAAAAGCAGATTTGTCTTACTGCAAAACTAATGGAAGAAACAGTATTGACTGCAAGTCTGTAGAATTAAAGAACTCGTTATTCTATCCACTATACCAGTGAGTCCCAGATTGTTGTCCAAGGAGCCTCAAAAATCTATGTGATAATTCCAGGGAGGCTATGATATCAAAATTATTTTAAATAATGCTTATTTTGATATTATTTGTTCTTTATATTTTACAGTGTTGATATTTCTACAGATGGGGAAAAGCAACTTCATTTTTCCACTAATGAAGGCAGAGGTACCAAACTGTGCTAGTATTTATTATATTCTTCACTACCACCCTCTCACAGAAAATATACATCAGTTTCACTTGAAATGACCTTAATGAAAAATTAAAATGTATTTTTATTAAATTTTGACATTGAGTACATGTCATTTAATATTCTTTGTGACAAATTGCAAGTTCAGTAACACACTTATGCTACATAAAGAAGCATAATGATTTCCTTATATGTTTGAGTTCTGAGCCAAACTAGCAACTTTTCTTATGAAATATCTTTTTACCAAAAGGAAAAACTAATAAAAAAGCTGATTGTTTAGACGTAGGCATTTACAGACATTTTCCTCAAAAGAATATAAATTGAACCTGTTACTTTAAGGCAAACAACTGAGAATATATGATACTAATGATAAAATTTGAACTTTTAAATTAAAATTAGAATTGTGGGAAAATTATATCCATTACCATGAGATTGACAGCTTCCCAATTCTTTTCTGGTGTTCACTGGTGTTATTTAATGAAGTTTCTTTATGTTGTATAATGAAATGGGTTAAAAATGGGAAGATCTGCACAAGTCAGTGAATCAATAAAAATGACCAAAACATGGTGTCACAGAATTATGCATGGGTAAAAAAGGATGCATTCAAATGTAAGACAGAGTATTCTGTTTTTGAGTCTGACATGGAAGGTGCTTAGAAGTCATAACCTCCATCCTAACCAAAGGCAAAGATTTCAACAAACTGAAAGTCCACAGCCTTTTTTTATTGGTCAGTGAACTCAGATTCTGGGGTAAACTGCTGGACCTAAATTGGAGGGCTAGAGAGGCAGATACAGGGGAGCATATCTTACCAGAGCAGAGATACACAGAAGAAATCTCTGTAGGAACCAGTACTGATGAGGAAAAACTGAACGAAGAACTCTGCAGGTTTTCACAAAGAAGATCAGAGAAAAATCTACTTGTGCTTCTGGCAATGGGAGGGGTGAAAGGTGGATTTTTTGAAATGTGCCAGAGCATTCCATTGATTTTAGCAATGCCTAGTCTCAAAAAATAAAAATCATCACAGTCTAAATGTGGAGTTTTATCAGAGCTAACTGATCAATCAAATCCAGCCACTTCTAGCTATCTTGTTCCACCTAAGGGAAGATAAAACTGAGCAGCACTTGTGGAGTTCATAGTGCAGAAGCACAGGCTCATTAAATGACTGAGATCTAATCAAAGGGCTATAGAACACTTCCTGGCTATTTACCTTTCCCCCACATTACTAAAGACCTATTTACTGCTCTTCATTTTCTCTAGTATATTATGTCCATCTTTCAACAATTATGAGTCAAAAAGAAAAGAAAACACAGGTTTGAAGAGACAGGGCAAGCATTAGAATCATAGTCAGAAATTGCATGAATGTTGGAATTTTCAGACTAGCAATTTAAAATAACTATGATTAATATGATAAGAGCTCTAATGGAGGCTGGGGCTGAAGCTCAGTGGCAGAGTACTGGCCTAGCATGTGTGAGGTACTGGGTTCAATCCTCAGCACCACATAAAAATAAACAATAAAATAAAGAGCTCTAATGGGTAACAGACAACATGCAACAACAGATGTATAATATAAGTTGAGAGAAATTCTAAGAATCAAAAATAAAAGCCAGAGATGAAAAACATTGTGACAGACAAGAAAAATTGCCTTTAATGCACTCATTTAGTAGGCTTCATGTGAATGAGAAGAGAATTTTAATTTAAGGACATATTGCTAGAAACTTTCAAAGCTGCAAAACAAGGAGGAAAAAAGTTTTGAAAGAAAAATAGGATACTTAGAAGCTGTGCATAACTGCAAAACATCTAACATATGCCTAATGGGAGTATCAGAAGAAGAAAGAGAGAGAAGAAATATTTGAAGCAATAATGACAGAAAATTTCTTCAATTAATATCAGACACCAAACCATAGATCCAAGGGTTCAGAGAACTGCAAGTAGGATAAATGTCAAAACAAAAAGCAAAATACCAAATCAAATGAAACAACAAAAAAAACTATACATAGGCACATCATATTAAAGCCACAAAAATCTAAGAATAGGAAGGTATCTTGAAAGAAGTGAGAGGAAAAGTATACCTTCTTATGCAAACATAAGAATTTTATTTGACTTCTCCTCAAATCATGAAAGCAAAAGAGAGTGGAATAGAGATGAAACAAAAACAACCAACCAAAAACCCAAGCCCACCACCTTACAATTATGTGCCCTGAAAATTATTCTCCAATAGTGAAGAATAAATACATTCTAAAACAAACAAAAATGAAGGAATTTGTTTCCAATAGCCTTGCCTTTCCAGAAATGTTCTATTCTGCAGGGCATGTTGTTGCACACCTATAATCCCAGTGGCTCTGGAGGCTGAGGCAGGAGGATCACAAGTTCAACGCCAGCCTTAGAAACTTATTGAGGTCCTAAGCAATATAATGAGACCCTGTCTATGAATACATAAATAAATAAGGGCTGTGGATGTTGTTCAGTGTTTAAGTGCCCCTGGGTTCACTCCCAGGTACCAGAAGGAAAAACATAGAATGTTATATTCTTTGAGGATACAGAAAATTATATAGGTCAAAGATTTATGTCTGCATGAGGAAAGGAAGAGTTTTGGAGAAGGAATAAGTGAAAGAGTTTTTTTAAACTCTCACTTTTCTTGTTCTTAATTGATGTAACAGATGATAGTGTGTTCAAAATAATACCGATAATATACACAATGCATATAGCTATAATGTATATGTGCAATTAATGACAGTAATGATAAAAAAGATGAAAGGGAAGAGTTATGGATACTTTGTAGTTATAAGGTACTTGCACTGCCTGTGAAATGGTATGTGGTATTTTAAAATAGACTTGCATTAGTTATAAATATGTAGTAAAACCACAGGAGAAGCATTAAAATATAAAAAGACAATATTATATGCTAAGAAAGGAGAGAAAATTTAATCATTAAAATACTCAGTAAATCACAAATTCAGGAAAGAGTAGAAAGCAAAAATAGGAACCAAAAATAAGAGTAATAAATAGAAAACAGTAGCAAATATTGTACATATTCAATCTAATTATATCAGTAATCACTTTAAATGTCAGTAGTCTAAATACACCACATAAAAGATTGTCAGATTGGATCAAAAAATAAAACCCAGCCATATGCTGTCTGCAAGGACCCATTGTAAATATGAATACATGTATGGATTAAAGTAAAGGATTAGGGAAAGATATATCATGCTAACATTAGTCAAGAGAAAACGGGATTAATTTTATTAATTTCTGACAGAGTAGATTTAAAAGCCAGGAAATTATCAGGGATAAATTGAAAAAACAGTTAATTCTCCAAGAATTCATAGAATCTTTAATGTTTATAGGCCTAAAAATTGAGTGTTAAAATAAGCTAGGTAAAGTGAAAGACAGATCAAGAAATTGTAATTAAAAAAGATGTCATTGACATGGCATCAAATCCCACATTATCAACTTTATATATAATCAATAAAACATCAATTAAAAATGCATGAATTGGAAGGTAGACTAGAAGAGTAGAAGAAGGGAAATAGGGGGAGGATGGAGGGGAGGGAAAGGGTGGGCACAGGGGACTGAATGAAGCAAATTTAAATTTATGCATATATGAATATGAATCCAACTATAATATGCAACTATAATGTACCAATTAAAGCAAAATAGTGGTAGACAAATGCCACTAAATAACATATATAGGTACACATACACACACATACACACACACACACAGTGGTGTGGTTATAAATAGTTTTCTCCATGTTTACTATGAATTTATTAAGCTTATCCCACATTTAAATTCTTCCAGTTACAAATCATTGAGATTTGTAGTTCTGCTTTCTCATCTGGATAATGATCTGTATGATCAAATAAGTGAGCCTGTTACTTATATGTTTTTGTTCTGATTCTACCTACAATAAGTCATTTTGCATTATCATTAGTATTTTTATAACCCTATTTCACTTTGGGCTGAGCTTTCTTCTTAGAATTATTGTGCTGTGGCTTTTGTATTCTCATCCTTTTTCAATGCCTTGTCTTCCATCTTTTACATATCTTCTTTTTAAATGTGACTTTATTAAAGAGAAGTTTCAAAGTTGTTTCAATGTATCATATGGTTTCAAATAACTCAGATTTTAACACTCTTTTCTTTTATATTCCTATATGGTGTTTTTTTTTCAAAAATTTGCTTGGGAGAAATGTTTGTCTTTAATTAATTAATTTATTTTTCTTTGTTGTTTTTAGTCGTATATGACAGTAGAGTATATTTTGATATATCAAACATACATGATAATGCAGTATAACTTCCCATTCTTGTAGTTGTACTTGATATGGAGTAACACTGATCCTGTATACATATATGAACATAGGAAAGTTATGTCCAATTCATTCTACTGTCTTTCCCATTCCCATTTCTCCTCTCCAATCTGGGGAACCAACATTCCACCCATCCCCCACGTATTGTGAGTCAGTATCTGAATATCAGAGAGAATATTTGGCCTTTGGTTTTTTGGATTGGCTTATTTCACTTAGCATGATAATCTCCAGTTCCATCCATTTACAGGCAAATGCCATAATTTCATTCTTCATGGCTGAGTAATATTCCTTTGTGTATATGTACCACATTTTCCTTATCAATTCATTTGTTGAAGGGCATCTAGATTGGTTCCATAGCTTAGATATTGTGAATTGAGATGCTATAAACACCTATGTGGCTGCATCACTGTAGTATGCTGATTTCAAGTTCTTTGGGTATATGCCAAGGACTGGGTCAAATGGTAGTTCCATCCCGAGTTTTCTGAGGAATTGGAGAAATGTTTATCTTTCTTAAACCAACTTTTGGAACCTATGTTTGTTTTATTTATTAAGTACCCCTTTTGCATGAGATAGAAATTCAGAAATTCAGAACTGAGACCCAAAATAAGAAATGCATTTAATAGTCATGGCCTAGTGCATACACACATACACACACAAGTGAAACAGAAGTTTC